GAAGGAGTAAAAGAGGAGGAAAACAGGAGGAGGAAAAGAGGAGGAGGAGGAAAAGAGGAGGAGGAACAGAGGAGGAGGAAAAGAGGAGGAGGAGGAAAAGAGGAGGAGGAAAAGAGGAGGAGGAGGAGGCAACGCCCGGATCTCAGGGTCCCACGGCTCCATCCCCTCAGCATGCCGGCCGGGCGAGGCGCGCCGAGGGGAGCGGGGGCGCGGGCGGCCAGAGCGGCGGCGCCGCCGAGGAGGAGGCCCAGGGCGGCAGGCTCGCGGTGATAGGCCGGCGGCGCGGGCGGGGTGCAGGGAGAGTCGAGCAGTGGCGAAGCGTCCTGGCTCGCCTACAGAGGCCCGCCAAAGAATCGGGGGTGGACAGAACCCCCAACAGTGACACGTCGACTAGGGAAATGTCCGTTTTCGGTTCTCGAGAGGGCGCCGTGGCGGTCATTTTCCAGGCTTGCGCCCGCCAGGTTTGGGCCTCAGGTCGTTTTCACTAAACCACGTTTTACTAGAGGGGGGTCTGTCCATCCCCGAAAGAATGTTCAAAGAGATTTTTGCGACCGGCACGAAGTGTTCTTAGAGCATGTCTGGCCGAGACCGTCTGTCCGAACATCGGGCTTCTGTTCTGAGAGCACGGCTTATGTTCTTAGAACGCTTTTGGCGTTCCAGGAACATGTCGAGGCAGGCCAAGAACATGTCGTGGTAGGCCTATGGGAAGGCCAGGGCGGCCAGCCCCTGTTCAAGAGAGCTCTGCTTGGCTGCCCTCCTCGGCAGAAGAAAGTCCTGAGGTCCGGGCCTTGCAGCTTCTGCACGGCGGGCGCCGTCGCCCAGTCTCCGCCTGCGGGGCCCTCGCGGATCGACCCGGCCCGAGACGTGCCCAGACGGCGGGGGGTCATCGCATCGCTGCTGCGACGTGGCGCGCGCTGGTTCTGCAACGCCGCGGCTCTCCGGGAGAGTGCCGCTCGCGCGCGGAGGGCTCTGCAGGGTGGCCCGGCACTGGCTCCGGCGGGCAGGCAGGGAGGGGGGGGGGGCCGGGGGCAGGGCCTCGGCGCGCTGGGCTTCCGCCACGGTTTTCTGCGGCCTTCTTTTGCTTCGGCGCTCTGGGGGGCCGTGGCCGGGCCTCTCGGACCGTGAGACACGGATCCGGTGCACGGCAGAGTGCACCGGAGGGCCCCGGGAGGGGTGCGTGGGCAGCTCTGGGGCGGAGTTGCTGCCATCCTCTTTCTTGACCGAAGTCCTCGGCGCCCCATCGACTCGGACCTCCCTGGCCGCCTCCAACTCGCGCGAGCCTTGTGCGGAGGCCTCGTGCGGGAGGCGCTGTGCGCTTTTTGCGGGGCTCCTGTGGACGCCGCCTTGGGGTTGGATCCGCGCGCGCGCGTGCTGAGGCAGGATGAGGAGGACGCACAGAATAGGAGGACGCACAGAACAAGCATGATAGCACAAGTTCCTGACCGTACAGTGCGGACGCGGCCGCAAGAAACCCTCGCAAGAAACCCAGCCCTGAAAACCCGCGCGCGACATGCACACGAGAGCGAACTCGGAGCACCCTGAACGCAGCAGCTCCTTCAATGGTCGCGGGAAGCCGCCGCGCAGAGCGAAGAGCGAGGAGACCCGAGGCACCCTGACGAAAAGCACATGGCTTCTTGATGCGCGCCCCCTGTGTACTTGCAGTCTTTTTATGTCGGGCGTGCCCCCTACAGGGGGATTGTCAACGAAAAATAAAGAATACCCCCAAACTACCCCAAAAAGGTCAAACAATATTCAACAAATAGTCCCCAGACTATGTTTAGACTATTTTTTGATTCTATGTTCGATGAATTTTCGACTATGTTCGACTAGTTTCGACTATGTTTCAATTATTTTTCGACCATTTTCGGCCATATTCGACTATTTTCGGCTATTTGACATTCTCGTTTGATTATTCGTTCCTCCCAAGTCCGCCTGTAGAGGGACGTGCCCGACCTAAGCCGAGTGGCTCTTCGCCGGAGCGACCTTCGGTGCGCGGTTTTCGGGTGGTGCCGGCGCTGGGTCCAAACACTAAGAATTCTAGGCCTCCCAGATGGGGTCCGAGTAGATGGGGTCGGTGGATCGCGCCGCATCGCCGACGCATCGGCGATTTGGCTCGGTGTGGGGCCCGATGTCCTCCACGCCGACTGCGCCGAGGCAGCGCCCACGTCGCCAGTGCATCGCCGATGCATCGGCGACGCATGGGCGACGCGGCTCGATCCGCCGTGCCCATCTCCTCGGAGACCCTGTGGGAGGCCTGTCAACAGGGGTCGTGGACCAAAAACATTTCCGTATCCGTGGCCTCGCGGGGAGGGCCCCTGGCCGCGACCCCGCGGAGGCGGGGTGCTTTTTTCACAGATGCTCTGCTCGGAACGTATCTGTGCGAACGCGTATCCGCGGGCTCGCGCCCCCAAATCCAGACCGCAAACGGGGGGCGCCACCGCCGCATCGGCCAGAACGATCGGCGAGGCGCACACCAGAAGCCAGTGTTGCCCAGCCCAGCGCCAGTCCCATGCATGGTGGCCGGCAGGAGCACCTGGGCGAGGGCGATTCCCACATCTGCGATCGGATCGGCTCTTCTTGCTTCCTGCCGCGGCGCTCTGCCACCACTTCGTCCTGCGGGGGCCGCGTTCGGGCCTCGGGGCCGTCAGACGTCGGTGCGGCAGTCTAAGACTGCCCCGCGCCCCACAGCGAGCCCCCCCCCCAAACCCCCGACGTCGACCCCCAGAGGTCTGCACCCTTTCCCCGGGACCGGTTTTTCATCCTGAGTCGTTTTTTGACGGTCCCGAGGCCCGGGAAGGGCCCCCGGAGGCGGAAAATTTGGAAAAAACTCCTGTCGTGAGTTTTCCACAGCGCGAGGAGGTCTGGGCCCCGCGGCGCGCCGTCTGTGAGGAGAGAATGCCACTCCCTGCACGACAGGCGGAGGAGGAGGAGGAGGAGGAGGAGGAGGAGGAGAAGGAAGAGGAGGAGGAGGAGGAGGAGGAGGCGGAGGAGGAGGAGGAGGAGGAGGAGTTGGGCGAGTCGCCCTGCCGATCAGCTGCTGCGTCGCTGGCCCTCTCTGCCGCCGCCCCTGCCTCCGGGGGGCACCCCGCGCGCGGAGCGCCGCAGGAGGGGTGCCGCCGAGGGCGGCGCGGGGCATCGAGACCGACCCGGGCGCCCCTGTCGGGGGTGGGCAGACCTCCTACCCTGACGCGTCGATGAAGGAATTGGCCGTTTTCGGTTCGCGAGAGGGCGTCGCGGCCGTCATTTTTGCGGGTCCAGGTCCGTCGGTTTCGGTCCCAGGCCGTTTTCACTAAGGGGAGGTCTACTAAAGGGAGGTTTGTCCACCGCCGACCCTGGGAGATGCCGTCCCAGATATGATCGCGTCGTAAAACAAATCAGGACGGGAGGTTTGGGGCCATTTTTGGCCTCGGGGGGCCCTCGCTGGGCCTCGGGAGCGTCAAAAAACGACTCAGGATGAAAAGCCAGGCCTGGGGAAAGGGTCGGGACTTCCAGGGACCCGGTATTGAACAAATCAGGGCGTCGCAATGTCTGGGGTCCTACTCCCTGCATGGCCATCGGGCACGCGGTGGGCACCGATCGATGCTGTCCTCAGGACGCGTGTCGGCCCAGGTGTCTGCTCACCCCGCTCGGCTCCGCCTGCGCAGGCCCTCGTCGCCCTCCCCCGTCGTAATTATTGCAGGGCTCTGGTGGACAGCGGCGGCGCGCTCCGGGGAGGAGGCAGAGAGGGGGCGGGCCTTCCCAGAGGGCGCAGAGAGCCGCTGGACTCGAGGCGCGTTCTAAGCCTTCTCCGAGTCCACAGGGGCTTCCGGGAAGCCCCGCCACCGGCCTCCTCCTCTCACTCTCTCCCCCTCGGCGCGCTGCCGAGGACGAGCACACGCTGGATCTGACACGCGTTCCGAGGACGAGCGAGCCAAGCGACGCCGCATGCCGGCGGGAAGCGGGCACCCTATATAGGGGGGCAAACCATGGCACAAACCTCACAGCTCGGAGGCCCGCGCGTCTACCTCGGATCGGCGCTGGAGGCGACGCCAGGGGGCCCTGGTGCCGATCCGAAGGACCTGCGCGGACCTCGCGGTTGTTGTGTTTATGTAGTCGTGTAGTTCTCTGCCCCTGGCTTCTCGGAGCAAGAGCTCGTCCCTTTCATGTCGGCCGCCCAGGCCGACCGGGGCCCTCGACTCGAGAGGGCCGCCGGCGCTCGCATGTTTATGGCGCCAACGCGCATGGTAAGGATGGGCGACCTTCCCAGGGGCACCCTTGCATCCTTGCCTCCTCGGTCCATCCTTGGCCACTTTCGTTGGCCGCGCCCACTCGGAAAGCTTCGAAATGGGCGCCAAAGGCCCTTGCATGCCCAGACATGCGACGTTCTGATTTTTTCGATGCGGGGTCCCCAGAAGTCCCGACCCTCTCCCCGGGGCCGGTCTTCATCCCGAGTCGTTTCTTGACGGCTCCGCGAGGCCCCGCGCGCCACCCCGAGGCCGAACATTGCCAGAAACTTCCCCGTCCTGATTTTTTTTACGCCGCGATCCTGTTTGGGTCCTTCTCGCGCATCCCGACGATGCGGGCCGACTGTATAGCCCACGGCCGCGGCACGGGGGGCCCCCCGTCTCCCTCGAGCCGCCGGGCAGGCCTGATCGTCGCGCTGGCGCTCTGGGGCTTCAGCTGGCCCGAGGTGCGGCGGCGAACCCGCGGGGGGGGGCCTTCTCCCCGAGGATTGGCCAGCGTTTCGCCACCACTACTGCAGGTAGGACGGGGGAGGTCCTCCTCCTCCTCCTCCTCCTACTCCTCCTCCTCCCCTCTCCTCCTCTCCTCCTCCTCCCCCTCCTCCTCCTCCTCCTCCTCCTCCTCTCTCCTCCTCCTCCTCCTCCTCCTCCTCCTCCTCCTCCTCCTCCTCCTCTCCTACCTATGGTAGCGGTGATAAACAATCGGCCAATCGCCTGAGATCCTGGCGACTCCGTTTCTTCGAGCCTGGCGTGTTCGCCCGGCTCCGGGCCACGGGGCCTTCACAGATCGATCGGGCTCGGGAAGTGACGCAAGAAGATGGGGTCCAGGGCGCCGGCCGTGATTTCTCACAACGTTGCGACTTTTCGAGACGTCGGACCTCAGGGTTCCCAGGAGTCGGCTACACGTAAGAGTGGCCCTTCGCCGGGCCTTGGCGCGCGCCCGCTGGGGTCCCCCGATCGCCGAACGCGGTGCGGCAGCAGCGTCTTGCGCGCTTGAGTTTAGCCCCCCCGCGGCCCCCAAAAAGCCGCGCACCAAAGGTCACTCTTACCCAGGGTCACTCTTGCGCGTAGTCAAAGGAAAATGGTGAGTCACCCGGCCTTCTGAGCAGCTGTCTAAGCCTTCCCAGAGGGCCGGCGGGCTTCTCAAAAGCCCCGCCGCCTTCTGAGAGGGCCTTCTCCTTCTGACTTTCCCGCCCTCGCTTGCCGCCGAGAGGAGATCAAGCGCGCGCAGATCTGCCCGCGCAGCAAGCAGTTCGAGCGCGACTACTTCGCGGACCCGGCGAAGGTCCACAGGTGTTCGCTGCCACTCTGGGGTCGAGTCCTCGGGTCGGGGGTCTTCTCAGGGGCCCCCAAACTTAAATGAGGGTAGATGTGGGCCTCATCGTCGCCACGGCTGGATACAGTTGGGAGAACTGTTGCGTTTGGACCCCGGGAGGCGTCCGGAGCTCATTTTGAGTTGCCGTTGTCTCAATTCGCCCTTCTCCGACAGAAGCCGCGGTGACCACATCGTGTGGCAAGTGGGTGGGAATTCGGACTGGCCGCACGGTTTTGAGACTTGTGTCGCTCTCCGAGGGTGCCTTGGGCTTTTCGGGCCTCCGATGTCCCAGAAGCGGTGCTGTCACGCGGCCGGGGGGTTCTGAATTGGATGGGCCTCGAGTAAATTTGTCGAGAAGGGAGATAATGATAGCAAATCCGCTCAAAACCGGTCCCTGGACCCCTCCCTGGGTTCATCTGGCGCAATTTTTTGCACTGCAGCCGTGTTTGACGGCCCCAGGGCCCATAAACGGCCCCTGGGACCGAAAACACCAAAAACTTGTTCGAACCCCAGAACCTCGAAACTGGCCCCTCCTCCTTGCTCGCCACAACCAGTCTTGGGCCACCTCAGACCCCCAGCCAGCTCCAAGATATGGGACCCCCCAGTCTTCGGATGCTGCCTGGCGCTTTTGTTGCCTGATTCTTAGAGACTTTCGGGCCCCGAGGTGCTCTCCAGTAGCGGCGCCCCGTCGAGAGCCTCCCGCCGGTTTTGGCCCACCGCGCCAAGGTGCGACACGCTCCACTGCACATTCGCGAGGCGTTGACGTCGCGAGCATTCCCCAGCCTCGCGCCCCGCGGAGCGGAGCGGCACGCCATCCGCTGGCAAGGCACAGCGTGTCGCGGGGGCCGCTGCAACCACACGCTATCCAAAAAGTCCTGGCCGCCTAGAGAGGCGAGGAGGACAGAGGGCCGGTTCCTTCTTTCGTCCTCCCTCCCTCTTTCGCCAGATCCCTCCCTCTTCTTCGTCCTCGTCCTTATGCATCTTCATTCCGGCCGAGTCTCACGATCTTGCTGGAACGGCGAGCTGCTTCGCAGTGCCAGCCGGCTCTCGGCGGTGTGACCCTGCCGCCCTCTTCGCCCGCTCCACGCCCTGCCACTAGCGACACCCGCGCCCGCGTCCGCTGGTGCCGCCGATGAAAAAAAGTGTGTGTTTACGTGTCTTGGGGTGGAAGAAGGGCGGGTCTGGAGAGAGAGAGAGAGAGAGGGATAGAGGAAACAAAAAGAACAACAGTGCATTGGAGGTCTCGGTAACAGCGACAGCGGGATGGGAGGGGGGGGCGAATCGGACTGAAGTGTCATCCAGCGGGCCATGGCCAGGCAAACCAGCAGCCCCCAACGCCTCCCTGGGCACGCGCGCACTCGGAACATACGTGTTCCTTGCGACCCGCCCTGCAGAAGGCCGCCTACGCCGAGTCGAAGGGCTTCAAGTACCTGCAGGACCCCAACTGCATCGAGCTGGACGAGTTCCTCGGGAAGGTCCGGGGCTACCTGCCGCTCGGCTGACGGGGCGCGCTCTGGCCCCGCGCGCGGCCTCCTGCCGCCGGCCCCCTCGCGCTGCCGGCGGCGTGGGGCAGGGCACTCCTGCGCGTCCCCGCGGCACCTCGCAGGCAGACGGCGGGCGCGTTTTTTTTTTCAACACGGGCAGGCCTTCTCAGTACGGGGGGGGCGCTCGCTGTGGAGTGTGGCTGGGAGGCCTCGGGCCTGGCAGGATTCCTTGTTTCGATGAGGGCGGCGATGACATCCATGGCCAAGCCTCCATTGATGTCCCACCGGCTTCCAGACCTGGGAGTCCTTTTTCCGATGGTTCCTTATCCAAGGCCCTCGCCGTATGTATCAGTCAGCCGCCCGCGTCTGTGCAAGCTCCTCCTCCCCGCCTCGGCGCAAGCGCGTGTGGCAGCGCGCCCTGCGCCGGCAGAAAGCGCCGGCCCTCTCCAGCACTTCCTGCAGGCGCCGTGCAGGCGCACGTCACATGCTTCTCAGGGATGGGCGGGGAAGTCAATCAGAGGAGCGTATCATATGCTCGGGAGTGGAAGGAGCCCACCGCAGGCACTCCCATCTTCCATGCCGTGTCAGAAAGGTAGGTCGCGCTGCCATCTGCCATTTCCATCATAGACCATGTACGTCAACATGCGTAGGTATGGTTCCGCTCCGCTACGCCTAGGGGGGTTCGGGGGGTTTTGCGAGGATGCGTCATGATAGTGATACGTTCCCAGCTTTTCCAGCTTTCTCGGAGTTCCCCAGAAGTTCCCACTGTTCCACTCGGGCTGCTAGAGAGACACTCTTGGAGATCCTGGAACGCATCCTGAGACAATCCTCTCACGGCATCGTTCTTGCCCCGCTCATCAGGGGCACCCTTCGGGGGGGGGAGAGGCCCGGGTGGAAGGCGCAGCGGCCCCCGCTCGCTCATGCGTCGCCGATGGGGGCCCGATGGCCCGCCACGCCCGGGAGCGTGCGACCGCGGCGGGTCCGGGCCACCTCCGAGCAGCTATACTCTTTTGGGAGCGCAGCGGAGGGCGCGCTTTGTTGCCCGGAGAGGGGGGCGCGACGCGGGGCAGGCGAGGCCCCCCGAGGGAGGCAGCAGACGGCCGCCCGGCCCCGAGCGGCCGAGGGCCTGACCGCGCCGGGGGCCCTCGCGGCGGCGGCGCGGGCCCCGCGCCCCCCCCCCGGCGTTGGGGCTCCCCGTGTTGGGCTCCCTCTCCGGGCTGCCGAGCTGCCCCGCTCGGAAGAGGTGCGCCGGCCGAGGCCTTTTCTGGCGCGCGCGGAGGGGGCGACCGCCGAGGGCCAAGGGCCGTCCAGGCCGGCGCGAGGGCCAAGGAGCGGGGGCGCACTGCGCCGGCATCGGCGCGTGAGCTGCCCGCGCAGGGTCGCGCGCGCAGGCGCCCTCGTCTTCGCTTTGTGGCGTGCCGCGCCGGCGGCCCGCGCAAGGCCGCGGCGGAAGGTCGCGACGTCACCTCGCGGGAGGCCCGTTTTGGATCGTCGCCCAGATGGGGTCTGGGCAGATTGGGTCGGAGGATCGAGCCGCAACGCCGACGCATCGGCGATGGGGCTCGATGCGGAGCCCGAGTTTCTCCACGCCGACGTCACCGATACATCGCCGATCGCACCGGCGATGGCGATGAGGATGGCGAAGCGGCGCCATCCTCCGACCCCATCTACCCCGACCCCACTTGGGAGGCTTCTAGAGGGGGGGCTTCTAAGTAAGGCGGGGTGCTGCTCAAAAGGCGGGGGCCGTCTTCGAAGGCCCTGTGCCCAGGGGGGTTGTAAGAAGGCTTCAAAGAAGCTAGGGTGGCCTCCAAGAAACCGCTCGCCTTCTAAGAGCCCCCTAATTCGGCTTCTGAAGAAGCCCCCCCCTCGCGTCACCCCCCAGATCCAGGGCTCCCAGAAGGGCTCCAAGCCCGCTGGGGCCCATGTCGATTCGATCGATCCAGCTCGATGCCGATCTCGCCCCGCCCGGTCCGATTCGATTTCGATGTTCGGGCGGCCTGATGCGGCCCGATGCTCGCACGGCTCGGTTGTGTATCTTGGCGCGGTCGATTCGGCCCGATCACGAATCTGTGCCGATGCAGCCCGATTCGATGCAAGCTTTGATCCGACCCGAGTCAGCGAGTCGATGCTGGTCGCTCGGGCCCTCATGTTCCCTGCCCGCGCCGCGGCGAGCGCCGCCGACACTCGCAGGCGACTTCTCGCCACCAATCCCAAAGCGCCCCGCCCCCCCCACCTCCCGAAAAAATCGTCGAGGTGAAACTCGGGGATACGCTTCTTAGTCGCAGCGCTGGCGGGCGCGCAGCGCGGTCGGAGCCAAGGCGGGAACGCTGCTGGGCGAATTGAGCACCAGCGTGCGCGGGCGGGAGAGAACTCCGGGACGCACTCCCGAGGGGCCATTCGGACGCACCCGCCGCAGTGAAGCCCCGAGCTCGGCCAAATGCTCTTCCCCGAGATTCGACGTGCCGAGAAAATTGCTGCAGATCGCGAAGACTCACGACCAGAGCCCTATAGACCCCCTCTTCCTGCGCCACGTTTCGCACCCGATGGATCTGTGAGGGCGCCCTGGGGCCCGACGCCAGGCGCAAAGGCCCAGCTCGACAGAATTGTGCCGCCGGGATGTCGGGACTGGCCCTGGGAGAGGCCCACAGAGTCGAGAGTGGGTGTCACCATAACTATCAGGAGAGGAAAAAACACAGACACAATTAATCGTCGACCCCACCAGAAAATATGGGAAAATATGGGCAGTGGGGGGGAAGACAGAAACCCAGAAAATATTGGAAAATATGGGGGACATTTTTATTTGTGTCTATTTATTTGTGTGTCCTGGGGCCCCTTCAGACTACCCCGCAGTAGATCGGTCATTGACAGGGCGCCCCCCTCCCGACAAGTCGACTGAGGAACTCTGCACGGGTTCACTCGACATTGGCATTCGAGTGTGCCGGTGCAGTCCCTGGCCGTTTTCGCTCATCGACGTGCGGTTCGCCAGAGACATTCGACTGTTTTTGGACGTCGGTTAGCTACCCTGCTGGGTGGGTCCACTCGGAATGCGGTGTCATGCTCGCGCAGAGTGCGCAAGGGTGTTTGGTGATATGTCAACCTTCGACAATCAAGACCCTTGATCGTCGAACCCCGAGGTTCCTCTGGGATCTCGCGTGTTTTCGGGCGCGAGAGCACGACGACAACGTCGGTTCGGAGGCGGATCGCGGTGGAAAATATATCCTGGCGGGGGCGGCATAGATATCGCGGCATCCATTGTCGTGACACCCAGGAGAGATGATATGCGTCTACTCTTGAGTCCTCCTGGAAGCTACTCTCCCGAGCGCCAGCTCCCTCGGAAAGCCACCGTTCCCAGACCCCCGATCATGATTTGCTTCTCAGCGTCGACACCCAAAGTTCTCGACCCAGTCCCAGGGACCCGCTCTTTTCCCTGTGCCGCGTCTTGACGGCCCCGAGGCCCTGCAGGGGCCCCCCGGAGGCCAAAAAGCATCGAAAAGCCTGCCGCCGTGAGTCTTCCACGACTCGAGGCGTCTCATCTTCGGGGCTCCCGCACGCGAGAGCCCACCTCGGGGCTCGGGGCCGTTCCCTCCAGAGGGGACAACAGACACAGACACACACAGGCGCGGATTCCCATGCCGGTGCGGAGCACACTGGGAAGCGGAGGGGAAGCCGAACATCCATAAGATATGGGAGCGTCTGGGGAATCCCGGAATGTGTGCCGATCTATGTGTGTCTCCCTGGGCACCTCTCTCATCGGCGATGCGCGCGCGTGCCCGGGCCGCGCGCCTGCCCGCTCGCGCGCCCAGGAGGGCGGCGGCGTCTTCGCGCGGCTGGCCTCCGACACCCCGCCGCGGAGGGCGAGGCAGACACCTTCGGGCGCCCCTCGCGGGGGAGCAGTCGCCGACGACGACGCCGCCGACGACGCCGACGACGACGCCGACGACGACAACCACCACCACCACCACCAGTACGACGACGACGACGACGACGACGACGACGACGACGACGACGGCGGCGGCGGCGGCGACGGCGGCGGCGGTGGCGACGGCGGCGGCGGCGACGGCGGCGGCGGTGGCGACGGCGGCGGCGACGGCGGCGGCGACGGCGGCGGCGGTGGCGGCGGTGGCGACGGCGGCGGCGACGGCGGCGACGGCGGCGACGGCGGCGACGGCGGCGGCGGCGACGACGACGGCGACGACGACGACGACGGCGGCGGCGGCGGTAAATGCGACGGATGGTGACGGACGGCGATGACATGGGACGACAACGACGACGGCGGCGACAACGACAACCGGGCAGTCATTATCGTTTAGGCGATCTCCATCCCCACTGGGCCATGGTACCTCAGCCTTGGAGCCGGCCGGGAGTCGGAGGTGGCCCAGCATTGGTTCCGGGTAGCAGGAGGGTGGGGAGGAAGAGGTTCGAGCTGCTGGGTTCGAGCAGTTTTCTCTTAACCTTTTTTCTGGAATTGGGGGCAGTTTTCGAGTCCCAGGGTCGTCACATAAGGATCCTGGGTGAAAAATTATCCCGACAAAGCAACCTAACAGCGATGTGTAGAAGCATATCTGAAAGCATTCCCCTTAAGATTCAGATGAAAATCCAGTTGTAGAATTCTGCTGTTCTCGCAGTCGTAGTCGCATTCGCGATGACAGTCGCAGCGGCAACGGCAGTCGCAGTCACAGCCTCAGCCTCAGCCTGCCTCAGCCTCAGCCTGCAGCCTCAGCCTCAGCCTCAGCCTCAGCCTCAGCCTCAGCCTCAGCCTTGCCTCAGCCTCAGCCTCAGGCCTCAGGCCTCCTCAGCCTCAGCCTCAGCCTCAGCCTTGCAGCCTCAGCCTCAGCTGCTCAGCCTCAGCCTCAGCCTCAGCCTCAGCCTGCCTCAGCATCAGCCTGCCTCAGCCTCAGCCTCAGCCTCAGCCTCAGTTCAAAATGTGGCCCAGGAATGGAGTTCTGGGAACTAGAAGAACACGAAGTGGCCTACAGTTGGCTCCGGGCATTCAAAATCATGCCCAGGAATGGAGTTCTGGGAACTTGAAGAGCACGAAGTGGCCTACAGTTGGCTCCGGGCATCCAAAATGTGGCCCGGGAATGGAGTTCTGGGAAATCGAAGAGCACGAAGTGGCCTACAGTTGGCTCCGGGCATCCAAAATGTGGCCCGGGAATGGAGTTCTGGGAAGTCGAAGAGCACGAAGTGGCCTACAGTTGGCTCCGGGCATCCAAAATGTGGCCCGGGAATGGAGTTCTGGGAGCACCAAGAGCGATTTTGCGAGGATGTCCCAAGCGATTTCGGCTTCGGCGGCAGCCGCGGCGGCAGCCTGTCCGGGTCCCGCCCCGACCCCCCTGTGGAGTCATTTGCTGCTCTCTTTTGAGACCGCTAGAAACCTATCAGCAAAAGCTGTTAGGTAAATTGCACCAGATGAGGGACCCCGGGATGGATCCGGGAACAGATTATGAGCTGATTTGCCCTTATCTCCCCGTCTTGACAGATATCTTGGGGCCCAACCAGCTCAGACCCTCTGGCCGCCTTCAATCTCGGCCTCACCATCCCTGCCCCTCCATCCCACCCTCCACGGTTGGGGATAGGCCTCTCGAAGCACGAAGGGAACAGCCCACATTTCCAGCTGCGTGAGGGGGATGGGAGTCGGTTGAACGATGCTCGAGGGCAGGGCTGAGGATCGAAGAACCAACAGCGGCAAACGATCACGACGCGCGGCTTTTTGCCGATTTCGGCCTCCAGTAGGGCATCGAGGGATGAACAACGGGTCCCTGGGAAGGGGCCCCGAACTTTGGAGACTCCAGACGCTTCGTACCGGCAGGGCAGAGGATCGCAGGACCCAAAAACGGCATAGGCACAGCTGCTCGGAGCTCCACACGGACTCCCTGCATCATCGGCGCTGGGCCCCAGGTGGCGGCGCCTCTGGCGCCGCCCCGTGGGGCGCGCTCCGCGCGCCCAGCGCCGACCCGAGAGCTCCGCGCGGAGACCCGGAAGCTTCTGCTTGAACGAAGGATTTTTTGCAATCCTTTTTTTTTTGTTTTGCAATCCTTCGTTTTTTTTGCAATCCTTCGTTCAAGGGTTTTTTTTGCAATCCTTCGTTCTGCCGCTTATGGTCGAGAGGGTGCCTCGGCGGTCGCGGCTCTCTGGCCTCAGGGCGGCCTCCGGAGCCCCCTGCCGGGCCGCTTGCCCGGGGCCTCGCCCTGGTCGCCACGTCCGGGCCCGCCGGGGAGCTCTGCCCAGGGGCCGCGCCGCCCCTGGAGAGAGGCCCGGGTGCTCGATCTTGCTCAGGAGGGAAAAAACCACACAGACACCATGAATCGTAGATCCCCAGGAAGATATGGCAAACTATGGGAAGTGGGGGGAAGACAGAAAATATGGGAAAATATGTGGAATCTGTTTATCTGTGTTTATTTGTGTGTGTGTGTCCCAGGGCCCCTTCACAGGAGAGAGGCCCGGGGGCTCGATCTTGCTGCGCCGGCGAAGCGGAAGAGCCCAGAACTCTCGCTGCTGGAGCAGATAGGGGGCCACGTGCGAACCCTACCCCTACCCCCCACGATTTCTGAGGGGGAAGGCGGGGTTTACTTCGCTCGGGAGCTCCCGAACGAAGTGAACTCCACCATCCCCCTCAGAAATCGTATGGGGGTAGGGGTAGGGTTCGCACGTGGCCCCCTAGCAGAGTCGAGACGACTGGGCTCTTGGTTTTCTCTTCTGCCTCCACAGGCGGGTTTCGGGCTCCACGGGGCCGTCAGAAAAAAAATTAGTCAGAGGCGGAAAACGGGTTCCTGAAGAGGGGCCGAGATCTCGAAAGGGCCCCGGGGGGGAAACAAAGCACGGAGTCCAACGACCACTGGCGTCGTCATCGTCATCGTCGTCGGCGTCCTGGGGGTTTTCGGCCTTCGCGGGGCCACCTCGTCCACCACGGCTGGACGCGGCCATGGGGTACCGACCAGGATGAACCCCAGGAGGGGCCCAGGGACCGATTCCGAGCGGATGTTGGCCGGCAGATGTGTGAGGTGGGCGGCCTTCATAGAAGGCATGGGGCCTCTGAGAAGCCTTCCTGCCTTTGAGAAGCCTTCTTAGAGTCTTCGATCCTCTTTCGAATGCTGTTGGAGTCGCCTGCCGTCGAACTAACCTTGAAGCTGGGTCCGCAGGAGATGCGTAGCCATTCCGGACGAGGGCTGGGCACTCGTATGCGTGTGGCCCAGTGTCTTCCGCCGTTGGGCCCCCGTACGGCCGGGAACGCTGGCCCCCCGCACGTGCATCCAGCACGTGGCCTGCGCATGCTCCGCGTGCATATCCAACATCATGTGTGTGCGTGAGTGAGTGAGTGAGTGAGTAAGTGAGTGAGTGAGTGAGTGAGTGAATGAGTGAGTGAGTGTGTTTGTCTGTGTTCGCGCGCGCGCGTGCGTGCGTGCGTGCGTGCGTGCCTGCGTGCCTACGTGCCTGCGTGCCTGCGTGCCTGCGTGTCTGCGTGTGTGCGTGTGTGTTGTGTATGTGTGTGTTGTGTGTGTGGTGTGTGTTGTGTGTAGTGTGTGAGTGTTGTGTGTTGTGTGGTGTGTAGTGTGTGAGTGGTGTGTGTGTGTGCTGTGTGTGTTGTGTGTGCTGTGTGTGTTGTATGTGTTGTGTGTGTGTGTTGTGTGTGTTGTGTGTGTGTGTTGTGTGTATGTGTGTGCGCGCGTGTGTGTGTGTTTGTTTGTGTGTGTGCGTGTGTGCGTGTGCGTGCGGGTGTGCGTGTGCGTGCGCGTGTGCGTGTGCGTGCGCGTGTGCGTGTGTGTGTTGTGTGTTGTGTGTGTGTTGTGTTGTGTTGTGTTGTGTTGTGTTGTGTTGTGTTGTGTTGTGTTGTGTTGTGTTGTGCTGTGCTGTGTTGTGTTGTGTTGTGTTGTGTTGTGCTGTGTGTGTGCAGTCCCTCTGCCCAGCCTCCGACGCAAAAAGTGTGTGCGTGTGTGCCACCTCGAGCGCTCCCAGACTTGCCGCACATCGTCCTCGGTGCCCGAGGCCGCCTGCGTGCCCCTCACCCGCCGACTCTCGGCGGTCGGGCCTCTTCGCTCTCCCTCTGCGGCCGCTCTCTGCAATCTCGCCCGCCCCGCGTGCTTCGATCGCGGCGCGCCCCGCCGGACTCCTTCCCCGCGCCAGCGACCGCTGGTCCACGCTAGCGCCCGCTAGGTTGCGCCCCCTATCGCAACTGGTGCGCGGGAGGGAAGAGGGGGAAGAGGATAAAAGGGGAGGAGGCGCAGGAGAAGGGGGCAAGATGAGGAAGAGGAGGAGGAAGAGGAGGAGGACGAGGGCGAGGAGGGGATTTGATGTTCTCAGTGAGCCACACAGAGGGGGGCGTATTGAAAGCATTGTTGTTGCTGCCCCTTCCTTCTGCCGCTCCCCAAGCATTCCTCTTGACCCGCGAGAACCTCCAGGACAACCTCAAGATCTCTTCATCATCCGCCTTCCTCCCGCCAGATCTGCGAAGCTCCTGGGACTGCATTGGAGGCGTCGGGAGGTGCCTGGCCAACATCGGGAACCCCGAGTTGTGCATCCCCGTGTCGGAGTACCACTGGTCTGCCCCTTCTCATGCCCGCAGGGACCATGTTGGGCACGGCAGGGTCACGCCACCTTTGGGTCATGTCGGCGTCGCCGGCGCAGGCCTTCCAAGGTTGGACACCATCTCGGGACACGCGCTGGCCTGTGTTTTTGTCGGTTGGCGTGCGGGCCCGCCAGCTCTGGCCCACCACGCTTCGGCGCGACACGCTGTCCACGTTCCGGTGCCCGAGCGTCCACGTCCCGCGCTGCTCCCAGCCTCCCGCCCCGCGGAGCGGAGCGACTCTGTATCCGCTCGCAGGGCATAGCGTGTCGCCGGGGCCGCCGCCGCGCACAGTTCCTGACCGCACTTCGAAAGCATCATCCAGACGCCGGGTGGGTGGGGGGAGGGGGGAAGGTTCCTTAGAGAGAGGCCGCTTCCTAGAAGGCGCAGGCCTGGTCCGTAGATATAAGGCCCGCGCCTTCCAAGAAGCAGCCTTCTTCTGAGAGGCATTCCAACCTCCCCCTGGCCCCCTCTGCGCGCAGCCAGAAACAACCCGCTCCGCGAAATCCATCCAAAAGATGATGGCGTCGACAGCCTCCGGGGACCTTCGAGAGCGGAGAGGTGGATCAAGATGGAGCGGCCCCCGCAGTGTTGGACACCAGGGCCCACGTCATCGAGGCCGGTGTTTGCCGAAGGGTGGTGGTGCAGGAGGGCTTGGCTCGACGGTCGCGAAAATCTTCTCTCCTTACCGTGGAGATTTGGCTCAGGCTCGGTGCTCACACTGTAAAATCATTGGCGCTTCGTGTATCACCACAAGCTTCATCCCCCCCTGCGCGCGTAATTTAGGCCGTTGCCCGTGTGCTACGCTCCTGGACGCCGCCCGGCTTCTTTCGACGCGGTCGCGATCAAACATATCCCAAAAGCCCATTCAGAAAGGATCGCGATGCCCGTTGCCTTTTATCATGGGAGCGCAGGAGCAGTTAGTGGAACGAAGAGGTGAGAAGGCCGTCGAGCCGAAATCAGGGATCAGCACGACCATACCCAGGAGTGGAATTGCTGAGCTTGCCGTGGAAGGTGGAACAGGTGGAGGAGGGAGAGGGGATGAATGAGATGGGAGAAGAAGGAGGAGGAGGAGACGGAGGAGATGGAGGAGACGGAGGAGAAGGAGGAGGAGGAGGAGGTGGGCGGAAAGGGGCGACGTCTATGATTCCTGCTGCTGTGCCGTCTTGGGGCTCCGTGGAGTCCTCTTGGAACAAATGAGGAGGTCTGGTGGACTCTTATTGCACTCGCCGAAACGTCACTTCTTGCGGTACTCTTGGGGCCGTTGGAGCGCCCTTGGGCGAATTTGGCGCCATCTTGAGGCATCCAGGGCCCGTCAAAAGCGAAAAAAACCAGAATGCAAACCTCAGACATATTTGATGATGTCTTTTCAGTGGCTTGGGTTTCTCGGGGGACGTGATTGGGAGGCCCGAAGAACACTTGAAACGGTTTTCGGGATATCTTGGGGCATTTTCTTGGACACGGGCCCCCTAGGCCATCTGAGATCGTCTTGGACGCCCCAAGCCCTCGCGAAACCTCCGTTCCGACGCAAGGGGGGGGGAACAGGTGGTGTCAAGCTACCCAGAAGCCGTAATCGGCCTCGCTCACTCACACCCGCCGCCCTCCCAACACATGCGCAGCGCCCAAGCCTCAGCATGGACAGGGGCCGTCATCGACAACCCTCGGGAACCAAGGCAGACGCCAGCCTGGCGCGTCAAACAGCAATGCAAAATGGTCGCACTGCGCCCGCGCATGGTCCAATATTTTACCGCAGCGTGCATTTTTCATCAGTTGTTGACTGGGATGGTGCGCCTGCACGCGTGGTGCACTATGCCGTATCCCGCCCACTCGTCCTTTCAAACACAACGTAAGGTGATCGCGTGGCGCCCGGACATGACCAAGATGTTGCTGCAATTTGCATGTGGCATGTTTTTTGTTGACGGGGTTGGTGGGGGTAGCACTGTTCTTTGTTAGTCGCTGGTCGGAATTGGGAGACTTTTGCTTCATAAAGAACACAGATAAACCCATCCCAGAAGAGCAGGAGGGCGTTGGACGACAACTCTCGCTCAGCCACATACGCCCAGAGGGCTGGAAGTATTCTGGTGATTCGCCCTGGAGGACGTCTGATGCCATTTGATTCGTCCGCCGATCGCTCCCCCCCCCCAGTTTTCTTCTCCCTTCCACCAACAAGTTGCGCTGGTAAAGCAGATGCGGCGATCAGCGTGGCAGTTGAAGAGGATATCGATACAGTTGAGGAGGATCCCAGCAACGCAGTCCGAACATTTTGGTGTTGCGAGCTCCTGGCATGCCTGCCTAAGCGGGAGGATTTGCCAGCAACGGCAGCTGACGAGTGATTTGGACCAGTCGCGATGTCGACGAAAAGAGCTCCGGTGGAACTGGAATAGGAAGCGGATGTGGAGAATAAGGACGAGGACCGCGGACGACGACGAGTGGGATAAAGACGAGGAGGGCGAGGCGGATGCGGATGTCTGGTGGAGGGGCCGCCCTGGGCGTGTTTTTGCGTTTTTTTGAGGGGCTTTGGGGGCTCTTGACACGCTGCAAACGCTAAAACAAAGCTACGTTCGTTTAGCGTTGTTAGGGAAGTTGTCTAGCGTTCTCAGGCCCGTCGCTGTGAAACATCGTTTTTAGCATTTTTGTTTGCTTTCTCGTCGAAGGCTGCTCCTTGTCTTCCCTGCTGTCCTCGCTCCCGCCCTCCCGGCTCTCGTTGTAACATCCCGAAGTGGGGTGGAGGCTGAAAGTCGTTCCCGTGCGCAAGTTTGGGCGATTTGTTTTTATATCAGAGCTATATATATATATATGATCCCAGTGCGACCCTTCCTAGGAGTTGGAACACCTAGGAAAGCAGCATTAGTAGTAGCAGTAACGCTAAGCTAAAGCTAAGCTAAAGCTAAGCTGAAGCTAAGCTAAAGCTGAGCCACAGCTAAGCTAAATCTAAGCTAAAGCTAAGCTGAAGCTAAGCTACAGCGGAGCTAAAGCTCAGCTAAAGCTAAGCTAAAGCTAAGCTACAGCTAAGCTAAAGCTAAGCTACAACTAAGCTAAATCTAAGCTAAAGCTAAGCTAAAACTAAGCTAAAGCTAAGCTACAGCTAAGCTACAGCTAAGCTGAAGCTAAGCTAACCGCTAAGCGAAACACAAAGCGAAACGCTAAGCTAAAGCTAAGCTAAAGCTAAGCTACAGCTAAGCTAAAGCTAAGCTAAGGCTAAAGCTAAAGCTAAAGCTAAAGATCCCAGGGGACTGGGGGGAACCGCTCCCAGGGGACTGGGGGAACCGCCCGGGGCGCTTTCCATTGCCCGGCCCCTTTAAGCTAGAGAGTAAGAATCCTTCTAGGCAGAGCCAAGGTAGGGAATAACAAAAAAACGCTCTGGCCCCTGTCTGACACCCGTGCGAAACAGGCCTGGAAGCCCACGGCCCGTCAGCAGCGGGCTCCGACGATGGAAAACCACAGACCCGAGAACGCACAGTGCAAATCACTTCTCTATAGCGTTTCCATCTTGTTGCCGGGACCTGAAGCGCTAAACAAGTGAGGTGCTCCACCACGTCGGGCTGGAAGCTGTGGAAAAAAACCGCGCCCAGGGCATGTTCAGGATGAACGACAGGGAAAGGGGGGATTGGTGCCAGTGCGTGCTTCCAGATTCAGAGCTCCCCAAACCCCATAGCGAAGGGACCTGGGTAAGGCGCGCCTATGGGCAGAGAACCATGGGCAGGTCCGCAAGGCGTTGGGGGACTTCGGGGGTGCCTACCTCCTCGTTCCCCTCTCTCCTCCCTCCTCTCGGCTTTCCTTCTTCTCCTGCGCGCCCCCCGGGCCTTCTCGGCCCTCCCTCCCTTCCCTCGGCCTTCTTTCTCCTCCATCCCATTCGCGTGGTGCTTCCCCGGGGCTCCGTCTGAGCGCAGGACCTATGGGAGCGCAGCAGCGTCACAGCGCGGGGGGGGCCTCCCTCGATGCGGGGGGCGAGCGCCCGCAGCGGGCCCGCGCAGAGGTTCCCCGGCGCCGCCGGGCCGCGGGGCTGAGCCCGCCGCCGCCGCCCAGCCGCCCACGCGGCCAAGGGCCGGGACAGTGAGGCGTAAGTCGCGCCTGTCCCTCAACAGGAGGAAAATTCAAAATAGTCAGAAGATAGTCTAGGGACGATTCTTCGACTATTCTGGCCAGTTGTGTGTATGTGTGTTTGGGATTATTTTCTTATTTGTCCTCACAAATCCCCCTGTGGGGGGACATGCCCGACCTGAAGTGAGGTGGGCGAGCGCAGGGGCACGGGTGTGGTCTCAAAAGGCCGTGCCGCAGCGGGCGAGCGTGCGTTGAGGGCTCGGCTCGTAGGCGGTCAGGCAGATCCCGCACGGCTTTCATGGCCGGTCCGGCGCAGGGCACTGGGGGAACGAGAAGCTTGCCGAGCTCACGTGCGCACGCACCCATACACACACGACACGACCACACAACGCACCAGAACACAGCACAACACCACACAGGACAACAACACACACACGCACACACACACACACGCACACACACACACACACAACACACACAACACACACACACACACACGCACACACACACACAACACACACACACACAACCCACACACACACACACATCTACACACATGCACACACGCACACACGCACACTTTTTGGCAATTGCGGACTCGCGTGCAGCGTGGAGCAGTTACCGAACGGGCGGGCGCGCGCGCAGGGGGGGCCGTTCAGAGCGAGTGAGGCCCATCTTGATATTGGGACGCGCGTGCACACATACACACACACACACACCACACGCGCACACGCACTTTGCTGGCGGGCGACGACCCCGCCGCGGGAATGCAAGGTTGAACGCCGCCAGTGGTCCAGAATCGGCGAACGTGAAACGCGACGGCGATCGAAAAGCTGCCGATCGTTGAATGTTGAATCGTCCAGATGATGTCAGAAACCAACGCCAGGGTCGTCATGACACGAAGCAGCCGTATCCACGGCCTCGCGGGCTCGACCCCTGGACCGCGCGGAGCGCCTCAAGTCGAGAGCGTACCCACGGGATCGCGCCCCGGAATCCAGACCGCACGGGCGTGGATGTGGGTACTTTCGCCAATCGTGATCTGCTGCACGCAAGAAGTGTAGCCCTTCGGCTGAACGTGCTCGGGCGTTCTCGCAGGTGCCCGGATGTCTTCACGCCTGGGGAGGAAGTTCAGCAGCTGCGCCTCGTCGGGAGCGTTCCAGAGGTTCCTGGGTCGTCCCGAACGGCCGGCGAAGGCCCAGCACCCGACAACCAGGGGAGGGAAGGAGTCGGCTATGAAAGTGAGAGTGACCCTTCTCCGGAATGGCCTGCGGTGCGCGGCTTCTGCGGTAGCAACTCATTGGAGCCTTGTTTCATGTGCTCGAGGCTCCGCTTTTAGAGTTAAGTCGAGCATGTCCCTCTACAGGAGGAATGTTCAAGAATATGTTCAAAATAGTCTGGCGACAATTGCTCGCTCTTTTGGCCATTTCCCCAATCAGAGCTTGCCTCTGTAGGGGTCCTAGCGGATTCATATGGTCAGGTGAGGTGTGTCACCGATTGCCGCGGCCCGCCTGAGTGCCCGGGTGTCCGCGTACCCAGGTGCTTACAGCCCTATAGTCCTATAGCCCCATAGCCCCGTAGCCGTATAGCCCTATAGTCCTATTGCCTTATAGCCCTATAGCCCCATAGCCCAATAGCCCTAACGCCCAATAGCCCTACAGCCTTATATCCTTATACCCTTGCAGCCCTGTAGCCCTATCGCCATAGAGCCCTATCGTTCTATAGCCCTGTAGCCCTATAGACCTATAGCCCTATAGCACTATAGCCCTCTAGCCCTACAGCCCTATAGACTCATAGCCCTATGGACTCGTAGCCCTATGGCCCTATAGCCCTATAGCCCCAGAGCCCCATCGCCCCATCGCCCTATAGCCCAATAGCCTCATAGTCCTATAGCCCTAAAAAGACGTTGATTGGGGCTTTTCTCCGGTATCATTTTGTTGTTCAAATTGTCTTCAGCTTTCTTCCAAAATCCGCCTGAAGGAGGACATGCCCAACCTGATTTTAGAGTGCATCTCGCCGCGCGTCGTCGGCGAAGCGTCGCCCGGCTGCCCCCCCCCCCGACCTCGCGGCGGTCGCGGCCGCGGGAAAGCGGCGCCCGCCCCGCGCTGACCGCGCTGCGCCCGCCCTGTGGCGCCGACGGGGGAGGCCGCAAGAGACACGCCTCCGCCGAGCGCAGCCCTGCGCATTCCGAGGCGGGGGGTCTGTCCAGAACCACCGGCCAGAGGATCGATCTTCGATCTGTTCGGTCGGGCCCCCGTGGGCCAGAACATGTCCCTACCCACCGCCCGCTGGGGCGCCAGGACGCCGGCCTCCAGGCGGCGGATGTGGACAGATCCCCGCCTCGCACGCGCGCCCCGCGCCCGACAGCGACGCGGCGACGCGTGCAGCGTGGCGTCTGGTAATCTCGAGGAGAGCGCGCTGGCTCAGCGTCGACCCGCGTCGATCTGGCGGCGGTTCGCGCCGATCGGCGTCGGCCGCCGCTGATGCGCAAGATGACATGGGAGGCTCCCGCGTGCTGGCGCAGGAGGCTGTCGGGGGTGCGGGGGGGGAAGGGGGAGGGGGGCATGCCAAGTTAGGTGCGCTCGCGTCAACATCTGACATCCTACCCCTCCCTCCCATCCCTTACTGTGGCGCTGATTTTCTCTATCCGCGGACGCGTGTCGTAGCGGACCTGTGGCTCCGCGCGCGTGTGCGTATTGGGTGGTGGTGCGCGTGCGTGCGTGCGTGTGTGCGGTTGTGGTTGTTGTGGTGGTGGTGGTGGTGGTGGTGGTGGTGGTGGTGGTGGTGGTGGTGGTGGTGGTGGTGGTGGTGGTGGTGGTGGTGGTGGTGTGTGTGTGTGTGTGTGTGTGTGTTGTGTGTGTGTGTGTGTGTGTGTGTGTGTGCGTGTGTGCGCTTGTGTGCGCGTGTGCTGTGGTGTGACGTGGTGTGGCGTCTTTGTGGTTTGGTGGTGGGCCATGTGCGTACGTGCGTATGGCGGTGGTGGTGTGGTGGGGTGGTGTGGTGGTGGTGGCGGTGGTGGTGTGTGTGTGTCTGTGTGTGTGTGCGTGTATGTGTGTGTGTGTGCGTGTCGTGTGCGTGCGTGTGCGTGCGTGCGTGCGTGTGTGTCTGTGTGTGCGCGCGTGTGATGTGGTGCGACGCGGTGTAGCGTGGTGGTGGTGGGTGGGGTAGTGCGGTGGTGGTGGCGGTGCGCGGTGGTGGTGCGCGTGCGTGCGTGCGTGCGTTGGTGGGTGGAAGTGGCGGTGGGTGTGCGTGCGGCGGGGCGGGGCGTGGTGCGGCGCGGTGGTGGCGGGCGGATGGGCGCGCGAGAAAGAGGCCCGCGCTGGGGCGAGAACGCCATCCTGAACGACGGAGGCAAACCACCGATCCGAAAATGAGGCCCACGCTGCAGCGGGCGCACGATGCGAAACGATTCGGGAGCAGAAATGAGGCCGGCGCCTCAGCGAGAGCAGCATTTTGGACAAAAACGCAGGCGAAAACCCAACTCCCGGGAATCCTGTGTAAAAAAACAGTACGCGGGGGGGGGTCGAATATTCCCAGGACGCCATCAGGGGAAGAGGGAGAGTAGTATTCATATTGAGTAATTGTCAAGCACGCAGGCCGCGACGGCCGCCTCGCACGCGGCGGTCTGGCCGCCCGCGCACCGGGGAGCTCGCTCTTGGCTGGGCTCGCTCGGTCTCGCGCGCGGCAGGGAGGGTGCATCGGGCCCCGCTCGTGTGCGCGCTCTTCGGCCCAAGTCCCGGTTCCACATTGCCGTTAAGCTGGTATCAGCCCGTCGTGACAGTTTCGGCCATGAAACCAAGGACGTCACACAGGATTACCTGTGTGTGAAAAGCATGTGCCGGATAGGAGCTTTGAGCTTGCATCCGGAGGTGAAGTGGAAAGCACCATGCGGTTCGAACGAAAAGGAGTTGGCAGATGTCAACGAAGCCGCCATTGTATGACAGCTCGCGTGTCGACCACAAACACAGCTGCCCTGTCATCACACGAACAAAGACATGTGGGCCCAAGACGACTGTGAGTTGCCAAGTTTCAGTGCAAGCAAACTGCAACACATCCTTTTTCGGCGTCCCGACTTCATGGTTGGTGAACCGCAGGTGCGCAACACATGCGAATCATTGCGCATGGGAGCGCCCATGTTTGACGGCATATATGTCGACGTTGACCCGTATTTGGGCTGTCGGTGTGGATAGATCAAGGTGACGGCAAGATATCCATTTGCTGTTCAGCAAGATTGCGATAGTTCAGCAAGATATGAATTTCCTGAGGAGCTTAGCGAAACTAGTGTTTAGGCCAATCTTTGGGAGTCTTGGAGGGCTCTTGGGCCATCTGATGGCCATCTTGGGCGTCTGAGGCCGATCTCTCCGCGACGCGCGGCGGTCCTGGGCCGTCCTGGAGGCCTCCCGGGGCCATCTGGGCCCCTCTTCATAGGCCCGAGAAAGTCGCGCGACGAGGCGCGGCAAGCCCCAGGGGGACCGCGGCAAGCTCTGCGAGAGCTGGCAGTTTGGGCCCAGGGGCTCTGGAAGACCCCCCCCTCAGTCCTGAGGGGCCCTCAGGACTGAGGACTGAGGCCCTGTGGGACGCGGCAGAGGGCCCGAGGACACGCCCACCCACTCCGGGGCCAGAGGCACCGTGGCGGATCCCCCCCAGGGTCCAAAGAGACCCCCACGGCGGTTCAGGGAGGCACACAAGAGGGCCCCCGAAGGCGCCCGACGGCCCAAGAGCACCCCAAGACGGCCCAAGACGACCCCAAGACGCCCCCAACATGCCCCCAAACAAAAACCCTCAGCTGCCCCAAGATGTCCCCAATAGGCCCCGAGAGCCCTCCAAAGCCTCCCAGGAGGGCCCAAACGCGCAATCTCTACACATCCCAAGCGTGGACCCCGCGAAGGCGAGAGGAATCTTCTGCGCCCCACCCCCGAGGAGCTCGATGCTCGATTCTCGAAGTTCTTGAGCCTCGATCCTCGGTCGG